GGTGCTAAGTCCTTTAGCCATGGCTTCCTTTTACCCTCACAGCAAGCCTCGCAGGGGCACTGTGCCACCTCTGCTCAGAGAGGTTAGGTGACTTGCTCAGATAAGGTAGGCTGAGCGTTGAATCCAAGTCTGGTGACTCCGAAGTCCTTGCTTATCATGTGTTTCACACAAAGCTCTTTGGGAATCCAAGACTACAAAACCAAGACGTTAGGAAAATAATTTCCCAAGGGAGAAAGAAGAAGAGGCTTTTCAGAAGCCTCAGCAAATTTCGCATTTCCTCAGCATCATCCCATTGTTCATGGAGAGGCAAGCGAGTGGGAAGGGCCACTGTCGGCTGCTGGGGGAGGACAATGAGCATCGCCCCTGGAGGATCCTTTGGTGACTTCTCTAAAGGTAACTAAGGGCATGGCGTGGTCAAGAATGAGCATCAAAGCAGCGTTTAAAGGGGAAATGGGAAATGGGGAGGCGACATCTGTCTTTCCAATGGAACATGACATGGCCTTTGAAAATGTTTACTGACATGGAGACATGCAGGGCGGACTACTGAGTGAAACGCTGTGAGATCCTTCTAGGTACATACAATGTTTCCTATATGGGAGTATTTTTACAAGTCTGAAAGGTTGTACATAAAAATGTTAACAGTGGTTGTCTCTGGTGGTGCAATAATGAGTAACTTTTCATTTATTTTTGCTTATTGAAATTTTCTAATTTTTGAGTCTATTTGACAGCCCAGTGAATCCTCAGAGCAGCCCCAGGTGTAAGTTTTATTACTATTCCCATTTTGTGGATGAGGAAACAGGCTTGCAAAGGGGAAGGGACAAGGCCGTGGTCCAGAACATGGACTAAACTCAGCTGCCCTGGCCCCGCACCCGAGCTCCCACCTGCCTCCATGGGCCCTGAGTGCTGTGATCACTCCAGGCCGCCCTGAGGCCATTGCTGTACTCACGGTCAGGCTCTGGCTTCTCGGTGTCGCCCACTCGCAAGGGACGGGCTTTGGGCTCTTCTTTGTTCCTCCGAATGGGGGCGTTGAGCTCCTCGTGATAAACTGGACCAAAGAGACCAGGGGACATGTCAGAAAAAATGCGGGAACCCAGGAACCTCAAACCAGAGGGGCAGGGGTGAGAGGGGCTGCCTCCCCTGAGGCTTACATCGGTTGTGCTGCACGTAATTCACCGCCATGTTGGTGGGCACAAAGGATGTCTCGCTGTCTTTCTTCTTGTTCTGCTGCTCTGCCAGCAGACGGGCCTTGGCATCCTCCGTGGAAATGATGTTTTTTATTTTAGCACTGAGGGGAGAAAGGAGCCATGCCATGCATTAGACTGCTGCCCCTCTGGTCCCAGGAGTGACTGGCGAGGCTGGCGGCCCTCCACTGCAGAAGGAAGCCCTCGTTCCTGGGGCCCAGCTCTGCAGTTTACCGGCTCCCCGGCAGCCACACCCCCATGGCACTCTCACAGCCTGGAGACGCAGGACTTATTCTCTTCTGATCAAGAGGAAACTGCATCTCCGAGAGGAACAGAGAACTGCCTAAGGCTCAGAGCTGGAAAGCCAGGAAAGAGGTGAGAACCCGGAGGTCTCCCAACCTTCTACTGAGCCGCAGAGGATTCTGACCACTGCATTTCCTCCATGACAGTCCCCTTTTAGAGCAGATGTTCTGTAGTAAACGTGAGAGGAGGATCATGGGGTGGCTAAGCCCTTAACAATGCTCCTACTCCAACAAAACAGAATAGCCCGGCAGTGTGACTCAGTGGTTGAGCATGGACCTATGAACC